GGGTCCCACTTGACCCGCGCAATCTGCCTCGTACAGCTGTCAGCCAGGGAGGAGGGAGGGGGAAAGATGAGGAGGGGTAGGGATGCGGTCTTATCCGTCGAATCGAACCACCCCTTTTAATTCATCCACCTGGCAAGTTTGCTCCGTAAAGTTGGACGCTTGCATTGTCGCTGCATTTATTGTCTAGCCAGGTTTATCGAGGAAGCTGGTGAAAGTAAGCTGTTTATCGCCAGTTACCAGACAGCACGCTGTCCTCCGACGAGATCTCGGTTTGCTCTCAGATTCGTGGAAGAATTCGGGTGGAGGGTGAAGGATGCAGACTGACCCGTGACTGAACCTTGGACTTGACTGATAATGCGGCTCCCGTTTAATTGTTTCGAATTAGTATAGAGAGCCTTTTTTTTTCTTTTTTCTTTTTTTTCTTTCGTTTCTCGAGAGTTCATTTCGGGATTTTTTGGATTCTCGTTTTGGATTTGAAACTTTCTTTTGTCGTTTGGAAGGTTTCTCGGGAGGTTTCTGTTTTTTTTTCTTTTTTCTCTTTCGTTTTCTCGTGGGATTGGTTTTTTCGACACTTTGTTTCTCGAACCATTTCGAAGGAGAAATTTGCGTGAATGAATTTATGGAGAATTGGAATTGGACGAAAATAGAATGGTACGTGGTACGTCCAAGAAGAATAATAGGAAATAAAGTATAATATTATAAAGGTATTGATATTTGGGAGGAAAAATTTGACAGAAATCCGCATAAAAAAGGATTTAAATTATTTATAATTTGATAAATAAGCTTCGATTTTTGTATATCACTTCAAAAATATGAATATATTAACATTTTGTATACTCGTATCCAAATTTTATTATTCAATTTTGATATTAAATTGTGATCCAACGTGTGTACCTCATAAAATGAAGTATTCCATTTTCCTTTCTTTCTTTTCTTTATGTTCTTACAAATAACACAATTCTTTTCTAACCAATCCATCTACTGATATCAAAATATCAAAATGTATCAGATGAGAAACGATAATCGAATTAAAACAAAAATTCTCTCTCTCTCTCTCTCTCTCTCTCTCTCTCTCTCACTCTCTCTCTCACTCGCTCTCTCTCTCTCTCTCTCTCTCACTCTCTCTCTCACTCGCTCTCTCTCTCTCTCTCTCTCTCACTCTCTCTCTCACTCGCTCTCTCTCTCTCTCTCTCTCTCACTCTCTCTCTCACTCGCTCTCTCTCTCTCTCTCTCTCTCACTCTCTCTCTCACTCGCTCTCTCTCTCTCTCTCTCTCTCACTCTCTCTCTCACTCGCTCTCTCTCTCTCTCTCTCTCTCTCTCTCTCTCTCTCTCTCTCTCTCTCTCTCTTTCTCCATTAAAAATTAATACCGCAACTTTAATCGATGAAAAGTTGCCTCGCATAAATACACAACTTAATCGACATCCCAGTTCCCATGAACGTTCCCATAATCTTCTTCTACTAATGTCGCCCTACTGTAATTAAATCGACAAACTAATTGCATTAAACATTTTTCGGAATGAAAAAAGAGGAAGAAAAAAGCACAAAATTTCAAAACTTTTCAAAACTCTTCCCTTTTCTCTTTCTCTCTCTCTCTCTCCTTTTCTAAACTGACCCAAATGCAGGATAAGCAAGTGCCTCCAACTTTTCCACCCGCCCGCTTTTCAACCCCATCCGCATCCCTGTCCCCGATTTACCCTGCCGAAAAAACGACATCCGGATCTCGGTTGTGTTTTATCGTCAATCAAAGAGACGATGGCTACATGCATAAATTGCGCGGAAGGGGAGTTGAGCGCTCATTTTTCCGTCGAATCAAAACAAAAAAAAAAGAATAACAAAAAAAAAAAACAGCTTTCGTTATTCGGAATTGAATCGGTTCACCGATGATCCATCGGTTTCGAAGCGAAATCGACGTGGATATCCTCCCTCCCTTATTTTTCCTTTTAATTCGATTCTCTCTCTCTCTCTCTCTCTCTTTTCTACGCGGGGCAAAAAACAAGCTGGGATATATGTAGATTTCCGCGTTGGGAGAAATAACGCGAAACAAGAAATATCGAGTTACTCGAAACAAAGGCCGAGTTTTTCCATAGTTTTGAATCCATTAGAGGAGATATCGGTGCGAATCGTTGCAATTATTTCTGGGGTTTGGTTTGGTGCTGATAGTGGGGCGTAAATATTGTTTTAATAATCGGAGATATATATGATGTACAACACGAAGTATCGAAGTCCTCCGGTTGTGAAAATAATTATATGCGTTTAATTATATTGCGTTTCAATGAAGATACATCTGCGTGTTTTTTTAATTGAAAAACAAAACTCTTACTTAGTTACTTGGTTAATATAAAAAGAAAAAGCGATGGAGTCTAAGAAAGATCGAGATTTCTTTGCCTCTACGAAAGAAAGTGTCACAAAAGGTTCGAATATTGATCGAAATTCCCTAAAGACTACCAATAAAATTTTACAAATTTAAATTATTCGACTATTAACTAACTTCTCACGTCATCTCTCGATTTCCAAAACGAGAATTTATTTAGAAATAAATTTCTTTTCAAAAAAAAAAAAAAAGGAAAAAGAAGGAATTAAAACGCTCCTTTGCATCCAAGAAAGAAAAGAAAGGAAAAAGAAAAATGAAAATCCAGCGACAAGTTGAAAAAAACCGTCTCGCCCTATCTGGCACACGGTACGAGCGTTGCAAGTTCCATAAAAGTTTCAACCTCCGCCGGCCGCAACGACAATTCGCAATTCTCCCCGACGACTGTTTCGCGGTGTGCTGCGTCCCGCAAGAAAAGGGTCCCGCATCCTTATTGGAGGAGAAGAGGCTCGAGTCAAGGGAGACGTGAAATTGGAAAAGGTTCAGATTGTCAGATAGAGCACAGCTACTATGGGATGCTGGACCACTGTGACAGCTGCGCGGAGCAGATTGCACGGATCGAGTGGGACGGAACGTAGTAGTGCACGTAGTAGACCGAGAATGGGGGAATCGTATTAAATTGTTCTGCACGCGTATCATTGTCCTCTCTGAAAGTCGTGAGAAGCGATGCGTATTAATTCCTTTAGCCTTTCAATTCCAATTTCGATCGTTCAGTTTTCAGAACAACGAACGATTGGCTCAAGAGGCCGAGAGAAATGTCATTCGATCTCGTTGAAAGAAAAGAAAAAGTTGTTATATAATTTTCTTTTTTTTAATTAATTATTCGATTATTCTCTGTAAACGATCGAATATCGTTATACAAATTTGACATCATTTTTCTGACACACAAAATACAAATAAATTTCGAGTAATATCGAGTAAAAATCGAAAATTCCGAAATGGTTATGAATTCGATGGTTGAGATATATATTTCTCGTCTCTCTTCCTCCCCTCTGTATATTCTTCCATTCCTTTTTTCGCTCTTTTTTTCTTTCTTTCTTTCCTCTTTTTTTTCTTTCTTTTTTTTTTTCTTTTTATTTTTTAATTTTACATCGGCTACCACATGGCACAGTTGGGTCATCGATTCCGTGGGCAGTCTGCGTAGCAAGTCGGCAGATACGTTCATTTTAACGCGGGAGGCTGCTGTAATCTGTGTACCCGTAATAACTTTTGCGTGGTTAGCAGCTGACCATGCATGGAATTCATTATGCTGAAACAAATATGTAAATCTCCATATATTCCTGCCATGGTTATACATATATGGCCCCGGGTGTACACGGGTCTGGATGCAGATATATTTCGTACGAAACGTGTGTCCACTCCCGAAACGGACAGTGACGGTTTAAAAAAAATTTATCTCGCAACGCCAGTTCCCTAGAACATGTTAATAACGTCAAGTTGAAAATCTCGAGGATTTTATCCTACTATTACAAGTAGCTTCCTTCCAACGGTGCATTGTTTTTGAATTATGTTACGTATGAATTGACGATGATTTTAATTGTATTTTGTAATATTTTAATGATTGGAAATTGGAGAAGAATTCAATGGAGGATGGAGAAATAAATTTATCAATTTATTTTTCCTTTTTTTCTTTTGATAAAAATTGGTTATATCGATAGAAATTCTAAGTGTCAAGTAATTTGTTAATTTCTAAATTCTCTTAATTTCAAACTTTTGATTATAGAAATTAGAACGTAAGAATTTTATTTTTATACTTTTTTCCCTTTATATTATTTTCGTTTATATTAATTCGATATATTTTGCGATAGATAAAAAGTATTAAAGAAAGTGACGTGTTGAATGTAACGCAGAATCTTGTTAAAATTCATTGTCGATAAATGTAGGAAAGGGGAATGGAGAAATTTATTCCCTGCGGATTGTGATAAACTCCATGGAACTGCCGCGCATGAAAAATAAATACCAGTGAACGTTCCTGTAATTTATTTAAGAAAATTCTCGGCGAAAGAGAAAAGCTTCTGCATTAAGCATATTTAAATTCATTTTTAATCGCGTGTCTAAAGACAGAGATAATACCCGAATGTTTCATGAACTTTAATATAATAACAGTTTGCGACACAAGATATTTCTAGCCGCAAGATGTTTCTGCTAAAATTAATTCTTTTCAGTTTACAAGAAAAAACAAAAAAACAAAAAAATCAACATTCCTCTGTTTCGAAACTTCTTAACAACGAAAATAATTTCTTTTGTATCTCAAAATATAATTCCTCCCTAAAAAATTTTTTTAAAAATTTCAAAAACTGTACGTACATAAAATATACTAAGTAACTAAATAAAAAAGTAAATGAAAAAAAAAGAATTTTCAACTTTGTGTAAAATTCCTCGCTTAAAAAAAGAAAAAAAAAAAGAAAAGAAAACAAATGAAAAAAACGAAAACTCGAAAATCACTTCCCCGCTTTTCAATCTCTCTTCGAACAATCCAACATCCTCTCGATCCTCGGTATTCGGAACGATGACGAG